CCCCAAAACCCCAAAACCCCAAAACCCCAAAACCCCGCTATTCAAAGATTAAGTTGAATTATTATTCAAAAGCATTTGGTCCTACTTCAAAAATTAACTTACTTTTAATTTATGAAAGGAGTTCACCAACTCCTTGCTTAAATTCAGACACGATAATCTCTGAGAACTTTGCCTTGTTTGTGTAATCAATGTTCAGAGCGAACAGTTCCTTCATGTCATTCTTTGTCAACACTATAACAAATGTTTAATCTTTCAAAAAACTTGTAAAAACTTTGCAGTCATGAAAATGGATGCACTTACTCTTATCTTTAACAAACTCTGAAATTCTTGGAGCCTGGTAGACTTTGCTTTGCTTGTTGAAAACCTGTCTAAGATGTTCTACTTCAATAGTTTTCAAACTACGCTTAGCAATTTTGCGTTGAATTAGCTTTAATTTGCCACACTGATCCTTGGCTGCAGCATTGAGAGAGTGTCCAAGAGTAAGCTTCGTAATTAAAGCATCTCCATTTTGTGTAAGTCTTGCCATTACTTTGTCCTTTATGTCCTTAATAGCTTGCTTCAGGTCTTCAGGATTAGTATCAAAGAACTCTTCATGCTTCGAGACTACTTTTTCAAAGTTCTTAGTACCTTCTCGGAGTTTCTTGCAAAAGGTTTGGATGTCTTCAACCTTCTTTTTGAGCTTTGGATATTCATGAATGTCACAAATTTTATGTTTTGTATGCGTTCCGCTAGTAATGCATTCAAGGCATAAGAAACGGGAACAACTTACACAGAAGAGTTTTCCCTCATCTTCATGGTCGTAGCATTCTTTATTCAGATTCTTCACAACAGAGCCGTTGTGTTTGCTTTTCTTTTGTCTGATCTGGTCTATCTTTAGGTCTTTTACGAGATCAAATTGACCAAGGGGAATCCTGCAAAATGGGCATTTAGAGTCTCAACTGAGAATATTGCTCCAGCATTTACTACAAGCACTGTTGCCACAAAATCTTCAAAGGGAGGCTTTCTGATAGTCATCTACATATCAAACACTGCATTTAAGAAGGTCTGACTTTAAGTCTTGGCTTAAGGCAGATTCAGATGAGCTTGAGCGAATAGTTTTCTGAAGAGTGCTCTCTTTTGTCTTTTCTTGCCTGGATTTCTTTTTAGCTCTCAAAATAGTTGAAAGATTCTTGGTTTCCTTTAAAATCGTAATTTAACAAGAAATTATGAAGGTTCTCTTTAAAATTTAATCTGCAAAATAAAAAATTAGCTTAAAAATCTCGTCTTAAATATAATGTATGTTTAATATCATCAATGATACTTACTTCTTCGCCTTTTTGTGCCTTCTTGTTAAAAAGATGAAGCCTCTTTTCTTCTTCCAATTCTAAAAATCCATTAGACATTAAATTATCATCAAAGTATTAAATTTTAACACAAGTGAAACAATTAAACACCCATGTTTAAATGTCATACATCTACCTAAAGCTCTTATTATGCATCCTACTATCTCCCGCTAGAAGCCCTTTGGCAGCCTCTGGCAATACCCTGCACTCACCAGTTCCCATGCCGAGCATGGATTCCCTTGGGTTTCTCTTCCTTTTAGAGAGAGTTTGAGAAGGTTGGACATGGCTCGGGTGGTCTTCACTACTTTCACTACTGCTGGAACAAAATCTTCTAACTTCCATACTTTATATTTAGAGAGTTTAATAAAAGTTATATTGGCTTTCTGTGACTGGTTAAGTAGCTGGGGTTTTGGGGTTTTGGGGTTTTGGGGTTTTGGGGTTTTGGGG